CTCAGCTCTGCGCGTCCCTGCGCTCGCAGCTCCTCGCGGTCGGCGGCTTAGGCAGCGCGGTGAGTGTCTTGGTTGCCTTTCTCCCGCAAAAGTTCGGGGCTCTCCCCGGGGAGAGCAGGCGTCTGGAGCCCGTGGGACAGTCCAGCCTACAGTGGAGCTACGGGCGCCCCCCCTTGCCATCGTGGTGCGGCCCACTCTGACCCCCACCCTCTCCTTACGTGCCCCAGGTGTGACCAGGTATGCCCAGGTGTACCCAGCCTTCCCCCAGCCTCTGGTCTTTGACCACGTTGGATGCCAGTGGCCTGGCCTAGGGGTTGTGGCCGCTCCCCACAAACGTCTGGTTGGTCAACACCTTGGAAGCTTTCCCTGCCCGCCCTCCTGACCTGCACTGCTGACCAGCGCCAAGGGCCGGCTCCTCTGCCTTTTGTTCCCAAGAAGCTTCCAGAGCCCCTACTCTGGCCCTTCCTTGCTGCAGGCCTTTAGCATACAACTTGTGCAGAACCCCGTTTCCTCTTCCTTGCTTGAGACAGTGTGAGGGGAAGACCAAGTCCTGGGGGCCACTTTGTTGTGGCTGGTGTTTGTATGCATTGTGCCCTAATTGCCTCGGTAAACACTAACACTGAGAGGAAACACGTGGAGTGTGAGAACCGTTTACACCCGACACCGTAGTTCGGTAATAAACACTGTAGAGCAGCTGGAAACTGCATTCCTGGGTCCTTGGGTTCATCGTTTCCTGCATCTCGGGATGGTGTTTGCTGTTGGTGCCTCAGCTCAGTAGCTGACTTTCTCTGCTGGAAGCACATGTCCGTGTGAGCACAGCTTCTGCTTGGCTGGGTGGACAGTCATCCAGCCAGGGGCAGAGGGAGCCTGGCTGGCCCAGAGAGGGGTCACCACAGCTGCTGGCAGCAGACGTGAAGAGCTAAGGATGAGACGGGTGGTTTCCATACTCACCCTCAGAGTGTCTAAGTCAGGCCCTCCTCTCTTCCCCATCCCATGATGGGAGAGGGTTTTGTTGTTCCCATGACTCCCTCAATGGAAACACTCAGGGAGGTGCAGAAGACGAAGAAGAGCCCCCGAGCACACTCTGGGGGTGAAACAACTTTGAAAAAGCAGTGTCAGAGCCGCCCTCTTCACCCGCCTCCACCCCCAGCTGGGGGTTAACACATTAGCTCAGACACTTGCCCCGTGAGGCAGGCCGCACTAAGTCTACACCTGCTGAAGTCCAGAGCCTTCCCGCCACCACGGAGAGCTGGCCTTGCTCTCCATTTCTTCTTGGGCTCTTGTTTGGAGTCAGAATTTGAGTGGTGGAGTGGTGTGTGTTACAGTCAGGCTGCACAGGCCCCAAGTGCAGAGCTAGGCTAAGGTACTTTTCTAGGTGAATCTTCTTTTCATGAAAACAAATCTGTGTTACACAAACTAAATTTAACAAATGTTATTAAGTGCTGCTTTAAAGAGGCTTCACTGCTGGAGAGCAGGGTTTAAAGGAAGAAAGCCAGGCGTAGACACAGTGGTTAGCATCTTCATCTTGTTCAGCTGCTGAGATGCTTAAAGCTCTCTTTTCCTCTCTGTTTGGGCCTTGCTTAGATATGGGTGAGTCTCACCTGGGCCTTACCTTCCCTGCAGGCCTGCTGCTCCACAGTGTCCTGCGCAGGTGTCTCAGGGCCGTCTGTCCTTCCCTCAGGGACGGGGGTGGGGGGTGCCTGAGGAAGAGGTCGGCTTCCCCGGGGTTGCTGTGGGCTTCCTCCTCCAGACCTCTTCTCCTCCTTCCTCAGGAACCCCAAACAGTTTACCCTTCTCAGTGTTGGCTAATAAAGTCAACTTACTAAATTGCCTGTGTCCTTATTTTGCAGAGGACAGACATTTAGAAGCCAGTGATTCAGACCAAACCTGTTGTATTCCAACCCCCTTTTCTGGGGCATCCATGCCGTTTTCAGTTTATAGTGTATTCTCCTTGGTAGAAAAAAAGGAAGCAATATATTGTGTTCTGAATTCTCTTTCCAGTAGCTGTCCGTTAGCATTAGTGTCAGGTTCGTTTCCACACTTCACTCCGGCCCGCCCACCTCTGTGGCCACAGTGTGAAGCCCTCTTCTAGATCCACTTTCCCTGAGGCCTCTGATCTCCTGTGGTGTGTCTGGCACCGGGCTCACCTGGCCCCCGGCGTGGTCCTCCCTGACCCTCTGCTTCCTGGACTGGGTAGTCTTCTGATACAACTAGTTTCTGGAAGCCCTTGGGTCTTTTCACAGAATATTATTTAAATAAAACCTGAAGATTTAAAAATCAGAGACATATAAACTAGTATTACCATGGGTGAGAGTGGCCTTTTCGTATGCACTCATGATAAACGAGCTAGCCCAGGGCCCATTCTTGGTTTGAAAGTGTGTGCGGCTTATCTGGGTGGGGAGGGGGCTTTGAGCCGGGCAGGATGGCTCGTTTTCCCTTGGTTGACATCTGTTTTCCTGTTCTCTTAGCTCTGGAGGCCTGTCTTGGGTACAGGTAGATGAAAGTTTGAGATCCACAGTTACAGGCAAAATACTGCGAGATGTGTGTTCTGTGGCATTGGGGTAACTACAGGTCAGTGGAGAGAAATAATCTAGTTTTCTTTTAAAATTTCTTTAAAAAATTAACACTAATGAAGAGCTTGTATAGGAGGCCACGGGGCTTGGGGAAAACTGTCTTGAATACACGGGGATACAGTGAATGGCTCACTCCTTTATAGAACTTAAAGTGAATTGCCTAAGAAGAGGAGTAGGTCATTTTTGTGACCTCTGTAACCTTTGAAGGGCTCCACGAGGTTTTGGCAGCTGTGGTTCACGGTGGGCTGGTCACAGACAGCGTCTTGCCAAGGTGCTTGGAATGCCCGGCAGTTAAGCCAGTCTGGCGCCCCACCCCTGGTGTCAGCTGCAGCTCGGGCACTAAAGAAGTAGGCTGCCCTGGGGGCCACTGACGCGTCCCTGACGTCCTGGGCCACGTGCTAAATGCTGACACTTGTTTTGACCCCACAAGGTGTTTTCAGTTAGACTGGGGGTTTAGCAAAGGAGTGGGGGGAGGTCTCCAGGCCTCATGTCTCCTTGTATGCTCCCCAGCCCCCAACCCTGGAGTAAACTCCTTTGGCCTGTGATGCAGCTGTGATAAAACCAGTTACAAATTCCACAGAAACATTTTCTTACCAGTTGTGAAATTTGTTGCCGTGTGTAACGTGTGTGACCGTGAGAGGAATTGGGAGAGAGCTATAAATGCCTGGGATGCTCCCTCGGCTCCTGGGGAGGCTTTCTTGTTAGGATAATTTCCTGCCCAGAACACTTGTGCAGTCAGCAGAGGACCCAGCCCGGCTCTGCCGCCCATTCCCAGAAGTCCGGGGGTGACACTGAACGCGCGGTCCACCAATGGCACAACTCGTAAAAGCAGGCACTTGTTAAATCTATTTGTTTTTATTATAGACATCGATCTGCCAGTCGCAATAATGCATTTATGGACATTTTTCTGCAAGCACAGCGCTGGTGGCAGTTTTTACTGACAAATTGAGTCATATGGATAGCAGTTTAGAAAACTCTTACCTTATTGACAGATCGGGCAGCCCCAGCACTGGGTGTTCAGAGGTTTCTCGGTGGATGAAGAGAGCAAATTGAATCTTGGGGCAAAATATGGGATGGGATGTTTAAATGTTGAAATTTGACAAGTAGCTGGTAATTATTTCTCTTTTGTTTTTAAGCTTTGGGGTGCAAGCTTACCCCACAAACAAAAGAACTGAAAGTAAGGGCCGAGGGTGTTGCTTCAGATACGGCCCTCTGGTTGGTGTGGTCAGTAAGAGCCGCCCCTGAAATGTGGGCCTGCTGGGATGTGTGTGAGCAGGAGCGAACAGTGTTTCTTAAAAGGTGCTCTGAGCCCTGCCAGCCTCGGAAATACCGAGGGTGCTCGTTAGAAAGGCAGACTATCTGGCCTTTTGTCAGCCCTGCTGGATCAGTCCCCGGGGACCTGTGTCTTTGCAAGCTCCCTGGGGGCCCCTAATGTTTGAGCATCTCTGGGGCAGCCTTTAGGGTCATCTGAGAAGCAGGGCCCTCCAGCCCACAGGCATGGGAGCGCCCCATCCAGATGGGCCCATCGGCAGCCGGCCTCGTTCTGAGTTGCCTGTGCTTTTGGGTCTGTGTACAGTTTTGTAACTCCTCAGAGACATGTGAATCTCTTCGAATTGCAAAGCCAACGTGTTATCATAGCGTTACAGCTTTCGGTCTTGTGGTTATGACAGAAGATGCAGATGTTACCAAAACTTTGGCATTAGTTTTACAAACAAAGTGAAGCATGGACAGCCGTGTTCTGTTTCACTCCCGTCTTTCCTTCTGGATGGCTGGCCGCGCCGTTCCTCCCTCTGGGTGGAAGCATTTTCATGGTGTCAGGTGAGGGTTAACCTTCATGTATGCAACCAGATACAGTTTTGGGAAACTGAACTGAGTTTTTATTTATTAAGTGCCAGAGTTGCGTTGGGGAGAACATGGCGGGGGGATTCTGGCGGTGCCGTTTACTAGCCGGGTGGGCAGCTGTTAGCCCCCCGGCTGCCTCCTCATCTCTAGGTTGGCAGTGGTCACTGACTTTGTCTACCTGGACGAGCATAAGCACATGAAACGACTGATGAATATTTTGTAACATAGTAAGCACTGCCAGATAGAAATTTTAATTTGGAAACCTAGTCTCACAGAAGGATGAGGCTAACTGGGAAAAGGGTGAGAAACTAACCAGTTGTGGCTTCCTTCCAGTCCAGTGAGCTTCCTTGTTTTCCCTCCAGTTCAGTCAGCATCCATGTCCCTGTATCCCACTCCGTCCAGTCAGCATCCTAGCTCTACGGAATTCCCTACCCAAGCCCTTGTTTGTGGTGCTGTACACGGGGTTAAGGTCGCATCCTCTGTGAACAAGTCTGATTCAGTTTGGACCCTGCTCCACTAATGACTGTCTGTGACCTTGAGTAAAGTCACATAACGTTTCCTGAGCCTTGGTTTCTCCAAAAATCAGGAAGATGACATTCCTAGTCCTAGGACTGTTGGAGGATATTGGGACAGAATCCCATTTG